TCCTATTTTCTTTCCTATCTTTATCTATATCAAAGGTTTTTTTGCTATGTCTATCACTCCTTAGTAATCTCTGTATGTTTTTCCATAAGTCGTTATTCGAGCCATTCTTTCCTTGAAAAATAAACTTATATTTTTTAGTGTTGTTAAACGGCTCGTTTTGAGCCGATTTTTTAAAACGGCTAACTCAATATTTTGTCCAGAAAAATATCGCCTAAGCCTCGAGATTTCTATAATATATGACTAGACTTTTGTTCCTTCTATGAGCAAAATCTTCAGGCTTGCGTAATATTTTCTGGATGAAATATTGAGTTAGCCGTTTTTAAAAATCGTCTTAAAACGAGCCGTTTTTTAATGATAACAAATGAGTATATTAATAAAACATTAATAAATCTTATTAAAAATCTGCAAATAGGAAATCGGATTAGGGCCTAATATTTTTAAAAAAAAATCGGGTCGGGTTAGAAGGGCTTTGGAATTTTTTTTTAAATATATCTAAATATATCAATTTTATGTTAAATTTTTTATGTAATATAAAAATATTTGATTTTATTTATAAAAACTAGACGCCATGTAACATATATCTTTTATTTTGAGTAATTATAAAAATGAATTTCTATATTTAAATTAATGTTGGCCAAGCCGACAAAACTTTTTTAAAAAAATTTCGGGTTCGGGCCGGAAAAACATTTTTAAAATAATTTCCGGCCGGGCCGGGCTTGAAAAATTAGGCCTGATACAGATCACTAATTCTTATTGCAAATACAATATTTTTATTAAAAATAGTATAATATATAAATATTATGACTAAGAATTCATTATAATTACGTTTTGAATATAAAAATTTTATGACTAAGATCATATTATAATAATCTAGCAATTTTATGATTTGAATTTATAAAGGGAGGTGTATTTTTCTCTGAGATTTGACTAATTTATCTAGAATCAAATTTTTATCTAGAATAATCTCCTTATAAATATTTAATATTACGAATCATTTAAACGGCTTTCACCGGTGCTATTTCTAAAATAGGTAACATTTTCAAAATTGAAGAAGTCCTTTCATTAGTGCAGGTGCTAATCGGTAAGGTAGCTAAAATAAAAAGCAAAGTTTTAATATTAGGCAGAGAATCTAAAGTGCTATTACGATGGAAAGGGCCTGTAGCATTTTTTGGTCTCAAAGAGTACTCTATTCTGTCAAAATTTTTATACCAAAATTCGACATCACAAAGTAACTTATCATACGATCCTAATAATTCATCAGAATAAAACTCTGAGACTTAATATCCTCTCGCGTTTCAAGTGTATTCAGACTCAACCGGCAAAAGAAAATGAAAGCTGTTTAGAATAAAATTGTGACTAATAAATCTTTCCTTTAATTGAAATAAAAATGTATCAATAAGGGGAGTAAAAATTTTATAAAAATCCTCAATCGTAGATGCATCAATATTTAAGCGATTGGACTATCTAGAAACTACTCTAGGCTTAAAATTTTTAATTCCAAACATATTAGTTATCACCTTTACTTTCTCATTATATTTACCAAATTAAATGATTTTTCTTTTATTTAAAAAATTAATTAAAATTTTTAAAATCTAATTAGTTTATAACAATATAAATTTTATTATTAAATTTATAAATATCTAATTTAACTATGCTAGAAAAAATTTACAATATAATTTTATTGTTATTTAATATTTTACAATATATTTTTATTGTTATTTAATATTTTACAATATATTTTTATTGTTATTTAATATTTTACATATAATTTTTTAATATATATTTTTAAACATGTTATCATTTAAAATTGACAATTCTTATTTGTTTTTTCAAATATATTTCATTTTCATATCTTATATAATTTTATTTATAAATTGAAACCGTTTTTAAATAAAATTATTCCCAAAAGAAAAAATTAAAAAAAATTTTTTTAAATTAAAAATTTTTTTTTCGGAGAACCCCCCCCCCCCCTCCCTCCTTGTCTACGCCACTGTAATTGATACTAGTAAACATTTAAAAAAAAATAGAACGCGTTCAACGTTCATTGACAAAAATCTAACACGTTCACTTTCAAAAAAAAAGATACGTGTTCACGTTCGTTCAAAATTTTATGATAAATTTTTTAATATAATCTAATATAAATAAATGTCTTATATTTTTTAGTGTTGTTAAACGGCTCATTTTGAGCCGTTTTTTTAAAACGGCTAACTCAATATTTTATCCAGAAAAATATCGCCTAAGCCTCGAGATTTCTATAATATATGACTAGACTTTTGTTCCTTCTATGAGCAAAATCTTCAGGCTTGCGTAATATTTTTCTGGATGAAATATTGAGTTGGCCGTTTTTAAAAATCGTCTCAAAACGAGCCGTTTAACAACACTAATATTTTTTAACACAATAATATATTAGCCAAGTTAAATAATAATATAGTTTTATTTTGATTATATAATTATAAATACCATATTATACAGCAAATAAAAAGATATTTTTATTTATAAAAAATTTTTCTTATTAATTTTTAATAACAATTATTTTTCAAAATTTTCATCTGATAGACAGGAACGCTTGGCAGTTAATACAGCATTAGTTATACTAAAAACGCGCTCAACAGGGGCAGATGAGGGAATTGCGGTATTAATTATACTTAATAAACAACAACTCTTTTAACATGGGGAATTTATTAAAAACATTTATTGTTTCTTTGCTTCAGAAAATTGAGATCAGTTATTTTCCTCCAATCTTCTACTTCCTCGTCAAAAAGAGGATATTTCGAAATTAACAGTTTTTGCATTCTAGGGTTTTCAATGCATTTTTTTAACGCTATAAGTTTATTTTTATAGGTTCATTCTGTGAAAGTTTTATCCATGGCCATTGATGCTTGAATACTGGATATATAATTGCATAAAGAACTTATTGATCTTCATATATATGTTCGAATCTTTAAAAAAAATAAATATGTAATTAATTTAATAGTGATGGGTTTAATACCTTTTATTAATCCCATTTAATATTGCGTCTATCAATGGTTGACCGTATTTGAGGCCACTAATTTTTTTTAATTTTAAAATAACTATTGTTATTGTTGGGGTCAAATAGCCCAAATGCAGTTTTTCTTCTAATTTAATGATTTTACTTAGTTATATTACATAATATAATTAATATTACAATCAAATGTCGTTTTAAATTGGGAAGATTTTGACACTGATATAATACTTTTTGGACACATTTTACACTTGGTAAATATTGAATTAGTTCCTTTATAGGATGTTACTATAAAATATTTATCATATTTGTCCATGGTAATATTAATATCCGATTTTGAATTTTCAGAATCAGATGATGATGATAAAATAATAATATTCATGCTTATGCTAATCTATTAAATTAAAATATAAACAATAATATTCAGATTAATAAACTATAATAATGGCATGTTAAAAAAATTGAAATGTGAGAAAAAGGAAAAACAGCTGATTATAAAATATAAGAGTTTTTTCTTAAAAATTTCTGATTAATATTAAATTTTTCAAATAAATAAAAATAAAAAGTGTTTTTAAAATTGAACGAACGTTAAATTCGAACGCGTTCGTCATAAAAAAGGAACGCGTTCACGTTCAAAGTTCGTCAAAAATAAAAGGAACGCCGTTCATCATATTTTTCAAAAAAACGAACTTCGTTGAACGCGTTTACAACACTAATTGATATTTTAACGCTGTCAAACCACTGATGAATAATAGAGATGAAGAAATTAATTTGGGATTACTGCCGAACCCTCACGAAGAGGTATGCGTTTTTTTCTCGGTGGCAAAAAAAGGTATTTTCAATTTTAAAGTTCTTATTTTTGCAGAAATCAAGAAGTTCTTACTATTTTCGCTATTCGGTTGTTGTATGGTAGCATTTGCAGTGATATTACTGCTAACATATTCTGCTTCTTTACCAATTTTCAGGTTTAGATCGCCTAAAAAATTATTATATTATCATTATGTCAATGAAGCCTAATCTTTCATTTCTATTTGGTGGGGCATAGAAATTTGCTGTTATTGTGAGCCTAAAATTTGTGTTTAAATCGTTCAGATATGGTACGAATTTGATGATTAATTTATATATTCGTTTATTTATTAGGAATGCTATCTTAGATAAGCTTTTGGAAGTGGTATAGGAGCAAAATATTTTATAATCATTCTTATAATGTCTACTTTCTCCGCTTCTAACATCCTTAAGAGAACCGCTAGTTTGTTTTTCATTCCATTTATATTAAGGAACTCAATTTGTAACTTGCCAGTGAATTTGTTGTCTTTTGTTATACTAACTTGAATCCTAGAAAATTTTATAAAGATCCAGGTGACGTTAGAAGAAATTTTATTTGGTTTAGATTAAAGATTTGAAAAAAAGTTATAGTAAAGGAAAATTTAATTTAAAAATATTTAGCTCTTATCAGTTAAAAAAAATTGAAAATATGAAAAAGGAAAAACAGCTGATTAACAAATATAGGACTTTTTTCTTAAAAAATTTGGATTAATATTAAATTTTTCTAATAAATAAAAAGTGTACGAACGTTGAATTCGAAAGTGTTTGTCAAAAAAAAGGAACGTGTTCACGTTCAAAGTTCGTCAAAAATAAAAGGAACGCCGTTCATCATTTTTTTCAAAAAAACGAACTTCATGAACGCGTTCATTTACAACACTAATATAGATGCCTTGAAAAGAATATTTATAACTTTCATCTCTTACAAAATAATAGTAATTATATATATCAAAAATAAAACTTATGCAATTTTTATCTCACTATTTTTTTCACCCTCCCCCCCCCCCCCCAATTTAATTATTATCACTAGTATTCTACTATAAAAATTTAAACATTATTTCGTTTGATTATGTTTTAAACGGTTTTAATCTTATTTTAAACTACAATATACAATAATAATATTACTTTAGAAAATGCATGTAAGTTTCAAACAAAACTTAATATTTATAAAAAAAACATTTTAATCTATAAAAAGGGCCGACACGTGAAGACCGGACAATTGGCAGCAATCAAGATTATGAGTGTTACTTCGGTTTGAATTTATATCAATCATATATTTAGTTTAGTTATGGTAGAAAAATGAAGCAATACGTCACACGTGACTAGCAAAATTAATATTAACCTAGACTGACAATTCATTTATTGATGCATCCATTGAGGAAAGCTTTAATCAATGTCATTGGATGTATTAAACGTTATCGAAAGGCATTTCGTCTAAGTGCCTTTCGAATTTCGTCTAAATTGTTTTCTATGGCAGATTTCAATATATGTACACTTCTTATCGTCAGTATAAGTTAGAATTTTTAAATAGCCGGGCCGGGTTGAATATTTTAAATTGCCGTTATTATTTATAAAGTGAAAAATTAATATATTTATTTTTAAATCCAGGTTGGGCCAAATTTTTTTTTTAAATCCGGGTCTGGCCTTGCAAATGATACCTCTGCAGATCTCTGGTATTAATGCCATTGGAAATAGATTTATACCAAGCCGCCATTTTAACAAAATTTAACGGAGACATTTCATCACTATTCCTAAAGTCAATAGCGATATTATCCACACACCCCCCCCCCCCAATAAATCACAATTAGCAAACCATACCCCTTACCCCTCTTATTTTTAATGACGATCTTGCGTCTTACTCTACCCCATGGTAGAAATTTCTATAGTCAACGTTTTGATTTATTTTACAATAAATAGATAATTTTTAAAATTATTTGGGAACTCTAAAAAAAATTTTAAATATCTTAATTTAAAATAATCATGATTCAATTCAATATTAAAGGTATAGAAGAGAAATACAATTGAAAAATTAAGGTGTTCCTTGGAAACTCAAATAATTTCCTCGAAACACCGATGTGGGATGGGCTTAAAAAATTACAATCTTTTTTTTTATTAACATATTATTTAAAATATAATAACCTACGCTAAAAACCGGAAAGGTTATAATTGAGAAACATTTGTTAAATATAAGATTTCTGAATCCGAAATCATACCACTAAAAACGAGTTAATATTTTATTATTATAAGTAGATTTAGGATTTACTGTATATCATGATGACTATATTTAAAAGAAATTTTTAAAAAAATTTCCAACATATTATCTTAATTAATTTTTATAATTAAATTTTTTTAGGAAGAAGAAGAAGAAATAAAGTTGGAAATTAATGTCCTTAAAAAGGTAATAAATTCGTTTCTTTATCATATCCTGTGTATGTAATAATCTCCTAACACACATTGAGCTTATTAGTCATTGTACATAATATTGTTATATTTATAAATAGATTTAGACAAATTTAGACTTTAAAAATAAAATATTTTTTAACACATTCGATATTTAAGTTTAAAAATAATAAATTTAAAGGAATCACATATATTAGGCAATATTATTTTTTTAAGTTATCAGCTTGATGATGACCGATTTAAAAACCCATCTGTTCAAAACTAATCGGTCTTTCTCATTGTTTTTTAAATTAGTCTTTATCTGGCTGAAAATATTTTTAAAAATTGGTCAGTGACACGGTTCGAACCAAACCATTGGCCTTTATTATTCGCTACGAATTTACGAATACGTTATTAGTAGGCATTGGTTTATATTCATGTTACATAGTAAAATCTGACCTAGTTATGCAAACTTTGTATATCAGAATTTTTGTGCTAGTTACTTAACGATAAAAATCATATTTAACATTTTCGATTGTTATTTTCGATTTAAAATATATATATCTTCCTTTACAGTATTCTCATCACAGGAATATAGCGACTTATTACGGAGCTTTCATTAAACATTCACCCGGCAAAGATAGTCAGTTATGGGTTAGAAATATTATTACTTAACTTGGAGGCTTTTTTCCAATTTTATATAATATCGGAGACCTAGGTCCGGCCTTTTTTAAAATTTTTTAGTGAATCGAGATTATTTTTGTCCATATTTTTAATAACTTCAAATGAAAGTCTAAAGTATGAGAATAAATGTTTAGATAATTCATCATATGTTAAATAGTTTATTGATAGGTTAACGTCAATGTGTTTTTTCAGTTGGTGTTTTATTTTTTCAATTCAACTTTAAATCATTTTTTAAGCGCTTTTTTTAAATTTACAACATGAGTTCGCTGGAAATATTCCAACATGTGTTAATAACCTACTCTGTGATTTCTATAAAATTTTGTCATGAACTTTTAAACATAATATAATTGATATCACTTTTTTTTTATAATCATATCATTTTACAAATGGGCCCCCGAACCTGGATTTGGTATGGGCCTGGAGGTCTCTAATATATAATTATATTTATATCTAAACGAAAATTATATAAATATGTTATATAATAACGCTCTTAACGTTCCTTTATAAGCACTCTAATTTTTTTATAGCACAACGAAGTCTCAATTATATTATAAGGTCGAGATAGCGAAATTTTTATTAATGTCTTAATAAGATCATATGACCAGGCGCATAGCCAGAATGGATCTATATTATCTAGTTTTCTAAATCTTGATATAATAATATTCTTGTACATTTTTTTTGAAAAATATTAAATTGTTGTGTAATTATAATTAAATAATTTACTAATACATTCCATTGGGAAGAAAAAATTGGCTGTCCTATTGAATCTAATAATATATCAACATGAAATATCTGGTTCAGGCCTTTGATATTTCTCCAAGGGCAATCAAAATAGGCTCTTCTAGATCCAAAAATGTAACAGTTTGATGTCGAAGGCCTCATCGTGTCTGGCATGCTTTTTGTAGCACAAGAAGTTTTAAAAATAATTTTATTCAACAATCTCTCAGGATGTTTATAACCTCCTGAAGACCTTATTTCTTCATTATCTTCGTAGATTCTTCATTTTGTTTAATACTTTTATTTGCAATCATTGTGCATCAGATTGTGAAGATGAATCATCAGTTATTATCATTTCTGGTATTGGGTTATATATATTTATGTTAAATTATATTAATTTTCGGTTTTTGGTTGATAAAATTTTTTATTTCCATCAGTTTTTAAGGTTTAAAAGAAATATAAGAAAATATTCTTCAAATTTTCACGGAAAAAAATATTAATACACATGGAAGAAATATAAAATTTAATTAATTATTTCTGCGACCATAGGGTAAGGGGCTAACTTTCAAAGAGTTCTTACACATTTGGAAATCTCTAATTAGTTATTTAATTTGCAACAGCAACAAATGATTGGCTGATGGGATAATTGATAAAACTGATAATCAGGCTTGACAATGTGACTGAACAGGATACAACACATGTTTTTATGCTTTTAAGCCCTTAAAAGACTATCGTATTTATTATGCTAAAACTACCACAATTAATTTATCTTTCTTCCATCCCTTTAACTATCAAATTTTATTTTTATGAATCGTTATTCATTTATTGATTTTTTAAACAAAAATATTTTGACCCTTAAAATTAAAATTAATCAATAAAAAATATCTGTCTTTGTGAGACGAAAGTTTGCTTTTTATATTTTTTTTGTTTAAATTATTATATAATTTGTTTATAACTAATTTATTTATCTCTTTAAAAAAGAAGTATATATATTATATCTTATCTTTTTTATAGATCATAACGGTCCCGGGCATTTACTATTTTTCTAAAGGTTTTCCAGCTAGCTCTTTTAATTAGGCCCGCGGGCCAACCTTTTGGGCCGTGCATATCTAATCTATTTTATTCGCTCATATTCTTGATTTAAGTGTATAAGCGATTCAGCATACTCGAGCATTTTAACCTTCATTTCCAAATCACCCATAGAATTAACATTGAAACGCTCTCAATCGTTCATAACTTTTAATTAAAGACATACATAGCCTTATTTTTTGGCTTAAGAACTATTCTACGCTAATAAGTAGTATATCCCCGCCTTAATCGAATCCGGAATTTTATATTCATAATAACATTTCTGAGATAAGGTTAATTTTGTAAATTCAACTTTAAATAGGGTCGCCACCCAACATTGATAATTTTATGTTCGGGTTAAATTGAGTCAGAAATTTATTTTTTTAAAAATTCCCAGGTTGGATTAGGAAAATGCTTTTCTTCCATTGGGTTTGGTTAAAAAAAATTTCTCTTTCGCAGGCCTCTACTTCAAACACTCTTTGGAGTAATTTTTTAATATAATATTTTTTTGAAATACAATAACTATCAAAACCCATGCCAAAATAATTGACTAAATTGAAATTTATAAAAAAAAAGTGGAATATTACAAAAGTTTTATTATAAACAGTTTAAAAAAAGAAAACATATAATACATAATAATTAAGAATTTACATTTTTTGTTGTTTTATCACCATTTTTTAAAAAAAAGCTCGTGATGGAATATTGCGGTGCTGGGTCCATCACTGATTTAGTCAAAGCTACTAAGACCAACAGTCTCAAAGAGGAATGGATAGCTTATGTTTGTAGAGAAATATTGAGGGTTAATATATTCTTTTATTTATTTATATTTTTTATAGTAGTTCCTGCTTTATATTTATATATAAAATAATGTAATTGTTTAAGATTAATAATCCTAGTTTTTGGGTCTTAATCAAGTTGAAGGTAAAATGAAAGCTGCGCAAATTCGTGCACTTTATTAATATAAGGGCGAGATACGACTATAATATTGCAAAAAAATACGTTTCCTCCTTTCCGAAATTAATTATAACTTAAATATTCATAATTGATATTCATCTTAAGTGAACATTTATTATTGAACACGAAAGAGCGCGTACATGCTTTTTCGTTCATATTAAACAAAAGTGGTTAGCAGTGTCACTGAGTATTGTTATTTTTAAAACGGCTAACCCAATATTTTAGCGAAAAATATTACGCAAGCTTGGAGATTTAGCTCATAGATATCATAAAGGTTTGGACATCTATTAGTGAAATATCGAAGAAATTATTTTCCCTAAAATTAATTCAAAATTGATTGTTGAGATGTTTAACAACACTATACTACTATCATTATTGAAGCATGAATTTTTATCATATTATATCGTATATTCATATTTTTCTATATAATATTAATAACATTCTTTGACCATTAAAGCGATAAATCATTGATTGTTATATTATCAATTTTTATATTATTTTTGGGATTAAAACAGGGATTGAGTCATTTGCATTCGAACAAGGTTATCCATCGTGATATCAAAGGACAGAACGTGTTATTGACTGATAACGCAGATGTTAAATTAGGTATAATTAATTTTTGGTTAAAAGGGGGTAGGTATATTTTTTAACCTATGGCTTCGCATTCATGCAATATAGGTCTTTGGTTAAAAGGGGGTAGGTATTATTTTACCTATAGCTTTCATTCATGCAATATAGGTCTTCAGTTCTACATAAAATACTATTTGTAATGATCTTATAAATAAAATTTTTAAAATTGAATTCTAATGATTTCAATGTTTTTTGTTTATTTTAGTCGATTTTGGAGTCTCAGCTCAGTTAGATAGAACTGTTAGTCGTAGAAGCACGTTCATTGGTACTCCATATTGGTAAACAATATTTTGTCTATATATATTTTAATTTATACATATTTGGTTTTTTTTTAAATTATAATAACGAGAACTGTCGACTACTTTAGTTACATTTCACTTTACTCTGAAAAGATAATTCGTTGAATAGGCGCTGAGGATTCAGGGGGTATGATAATTTATAAACAAAGTTTTTAATGCTAGGAAATTGTTAAAATTTTTATCTCTAAAGATGTATCTATTCTTTAGACGAGTTTATCCGAATCACTCCATTATAAAATAACGTGTTTTTTAAATATGTTGGGAAAGAGCCTTAGAACAAATTCTTTCCATAGATTACTTATTTATATCAATATCTTTGCTTAAAATCAAATACTTTGATTTTATTCATTTGACCTTGGTCATGTTGAATATAATTTTTTTTAATATTATTCTAACTAGAACTCTAATACAGTTGAAACATTCAATAGGCCAATAAAAAAAGAGTTGAAATAAGAATGAAATACCCGTATAATTTAATTGGTTTTTAAAACTAGATTTTATAATTATTTTTTTTATATTTATACAAATATTAGGCCTGAGTATTAAACAAAAAAATTAAAATATTAATTAACGAGTTTCCTATAAAGTAAGGAATTATTTTATTAAATTACTTTTTCAAATAGTAACCTCATTAGTGACTACATTACTTTTGTGTCGCGTTACTATACAGCTCTGATCAGGTTAAAGATTTAAAAGGATAGCATTTAACAAAATATAATATATGAAAATTGGTTAAAGGAAGTATTCGATATTACTATCCTAACCTGTCACAGATGACGGGAATCACAAATGGTCGTGAATATGAAAGAGGATGAATCATAATTGATGATGAGTATTTTAAAAAGTGACATAAATGAAATTATGCTCAAATTTTTTTTTAAAATAATTAAAATAAAAGCAAAAAATTTATTGGGCAAATATAACATCAATACAATATGTATTCATAAAAGTAAGTGATTTTTGGTGCAAGAGAAAATATGTGATATTGAATATAAAATAAAATAATTGTGCATCTCGTTCATAGAACAAAAATTAGAATTAAATTTTTGTTTTATTTATCAGAGCCTAATTAAAAGGGAGAAGTGATCGCATCCCTAAGGAAATATTGCAGATTTTGCATTTTTGGTTATTATTATACACTTGGAAATGAATTGTAATAAAAAATATATTAGTATTACATAAATTATGAGTAATTTTATTTATTACTGAATTCATATTCTTATTTGCTTATTCACCATAAAATGGCAAAAAATAATCGCTATGTGCAATTTCTGATCGAATCCAATCGATATATGCAATTTTTGATCAAAATACCAAAAAAATTAAGCCCTCATCCTTCCACATTTTATATTAGGGCAGACCCGTGCAAACAAGTTGGGGGAGGGGGCGTATTTTAAATATTATATAAATTATGCTTAATATTAGTTCATTACAAAATATTAGTAAACCGACACGTTTAAATTAAACAGGCTCGTGAATAAAATTCATTTTTTAAAATAAAAACATGTTAAACGAACGACCTTCCTTTTATTTTGGTCATGTTGTTTTGGTTGTTTACGGTAATTTGATGCAGAAAAAGATGAAAAACATATAAAATAATTAGTAGATATCAGAGTTGTTAAAGTATTTAGATATAATAATGTTGTATCTCTATCTAGATACAGTTTTGTAAAAAGGATCTCTATCTGTTTTAAGATACATTCTGATATACTTTTATTTAAAGCTTTTTTATATTAAAATAAAAATATTTGAATGCAAAATTCATTTTAATTCATATGAGCATATATTTAAATAAATGTATACAAAAATTTTAAGATTAATATAATAAAAAAAATATGTGTAGAAAATATTAAAACTTATAAAAATATTAAAACTTAAATATATAAAAAAAATATTTAAATATTATTTTTTTCCACCATTTAAATCTATAGATATCAGTTCAAGATTGTAAAGGATATTTTTATCATGTACGTTAAAACGTACTGCAAACGCAAACTCTCAATTTGTTCATAAAGGAATATAAATCCTTGCTTAGTCACGACGCCTATTAATTATTAAAAACAATGCCATTCATGCGTAAAATAATTTTAAGGGAATAAATTTATTTCAAGTTTTTTAAAAAAATTTTATAGATACACCCCTGACATTTAATGAATAAATTATAAGTTTAATGTAATGATATTTTTAAATTAAATTCTTGCTTTAAAGAAGAATTTGTTCGAAAGAATGATAAAAATAGGGGTATTGACATTTTTTATTATTATCTTGTTTACATTTTTGTGCTCTCATAATAAGAGTTTTTGTTTGAGACCAACGGCTAACCAGGTATATAAGTATTATAAAAATTGTATCTGTTTACAGGTACATTTGTAAAATCAAATCTACTTACATATTTGTAAAATTGTATCTGTTTACAAGTACATTTGTAAAATTGTATCTGTTTACAAGTACATTTGTAAAATTGTATCTGTTTACGGATACATTTGTAAAATTGTATCTCTATCTAAAGTAGATATCGTTTCCTTTAAAGAAATTGTAATATAATGTAATAAATGTGTAATGTAATTTTTACGACTCATATATATTATCATTTTAAAAAAACCGTAATTATTTAGGATGTCACCGGAAGTCATAGCATGCGATGAAAACCCTGATGCTACATATGACACTAGAGTAATTTTCATTATAAACATAATGTAGAAAATTTAAAAGTTTAAGTCACTTTTGTGTATAAATTTTACCTTTAAACTATTAGAAATTAAATTAGTGTCTGCTACTTGTGTACATTTTTTTATTATTCGGTATTTAATTTTCAACAAGAAGCTCTAAAATGAAGATATTTGTTTTAGTTTACTCTTTTTTAAAAAAAATTTAAATTATTCATAATACATTTTTATAAACATAAATATATTTAGAGTGACATATGGTCGGTTGGGATAACCTGCATTGAAATGGCCGAGTCAAAACCACGTAAAAATATTTTTACTCTTTTATATCCAACATTTTCTAATGAAAAGGTGTGTCCTGCTTAAGTCATTAAACTTTAAACGCACGCTAGGCATGGGGGAAGGGGGTGGGATAGAGGTTCAACTCCCCCATTAAAAAAGGAAATTTTTTTAAAAAAAGTTTTGTTTTAATTTACTAAATTGATTATTAAATGCTTAAAATTTTAAAAAGACCTATATTATGTTTTTAATTTATAAATAATAATTTTGATCTACAATATTTGATTATTTTTATATATTTTAAATAAATTTTAAATTAGCTTGCAAAACACTTGTCTAGTTTGTCATATTCCTTTTTGAAAAAAATCTACTTTGTCAATTCCATTATGAAGAAACGATCATTAATTTATTTTTAATTCAACAAATGTTAAGCACAGATATGTCACAAGTCTATTTGACTACCTTTTTATGCCGCTATTAAATATAAAAAGTATCTAAGTTACAACCACATCAAGTCTCATATTTTAGATGATAGAATTTTTTATAATGAATATAATAGTAAAACTTATTTTAGATATTTGGTTTATTTAATTTTTTAAATAGCTTTTGTTCTTCTAGAATCTTCTTGCTATCTTGTTTTATTAGATAAATTATTTCTATATTTATTAAAGAAACTGAAAATAAAATAACATCTATGTAGATCATAGAATCACAAGATTCAAAAATATCTTGAATCGGAGAAAGAAACATCTTAATGTATTTAGACGAAATTGATTTTTGTAATTTAATATTTGATATTTAAGATTCAGCCTAAGACTTGTCGTAATTTTTATTTCGCTTATAACTGGTTTTTATTTATTAGCAGAAAATAACTGATGGATGAACAAGTAAATACTAATCATGCGTTACATATTGTTCATTGCTTCTATAATTTTCCTTCTAGCATGATCCAATTTCGCAATTTTTTTATTTGCCAAAAATATTTTTCTTTAAACTATCTACCAAACAAGTTGAAGCAGGGGCGTTAACTAGCCTTTACAATCTCAGGGGGCTCAACTAAAAAAGCGCCCCCATATCTCCTATAACAGGCCTTCGGTCCGCTTTTACCCGGCCAAATAAATAAATTATACTTTTTTAATTGAAATTTGAAAGCTCTGAACAATTAATTCTTAGCAACCTACATTGACAAAAGGTCATGAAACTATTATAACGTTGTGTTACCATTTTAGAGAATGTTTTATAGAATGGACTAATAATGAAAAATTAGTATGCCTTACCAAATCTATAATTCTTGAAGAAGAAAATATAAGCGACTAGTCCAAATTATAAAAATATCTCTTAGATGTTATGGAAGCTAGATAAGTAATCGAGAAAATTATTGTGAGATGTTAAATTTCTAAAAGATTATTTTCCATTTTTAGATATATACATGACTAGACAGTTGACCATTGTTGCTCATCTAAATTATGCAATCAAAAGCTCTCAGCAGCATGAGTAATAATCTTAAATTACATAGCCGCACTAATAATAGATGCTGGTTAATTTGCAGTTATAACCATGACACTCACATGTAAACTCATATTAGTGTTTATTATGTTAGATAAATTGCTAAAATAAAACACTAAAAATCTTTAAAAGATATAATTATGCACATATATCGAAGCCATGAGTTATTTACACGGTAAGGATGTATTGTTAGAAATGAATAATTTAGTAACTAGAAAATAAGGACCAGAGTGATACGATGAAAGCAATTAAGATTTTATATACTATTGTCGCACCACCTCTAGTTGGTATATTATGTCTTAAAATAATAGTAGTTGTAATAATATCAAATATATTCGCATTATAATAACTCAAATATTAATTTTGTTAATTTTCAATTAATAAATGATTATATTTATTAAATTAGTATAAAATAATTTAACTAATAAAAAACAATAAAGCTTCTACTTTTAATGCTAAATAATATTTAGACATTGTGAATGATATTAATATTCCATTTTTAACACAGATTGATTGCAAGCTGACATAGGGAAAATATAATTTATATGTATTAAATCTAATCTAATAATTAAAATAGCACTCATTTATTAAAAATTAGATAGTTTTATTAATTTTTAAATAATAAAATTAAATCTATATATTATATAATAGAATTATAAAAGAAATCGTTTAGGGGGCAATCAAAAAAAATTATTTTTAGTTTAAGGGGATATTGAGGAGCCATTAAAAAAATTGTTTCAAGGAGCTATTCAAACTTTTCAGGGAGCGCGACCTCTCCTAGTGACGCTACTGGGTTGAAGCAGGAAAGAAGTATGAAATACGTACCAATTATTGACATACATTTCCGAAATAATGCTTCGAGATGTTTAGCTAACTTTACGCTTAAGACCTGATATCATAGTTAGTTTTAGGTTCATAATTCGGTTACTTGGCTGGCGAAATTGATTAAAGAATTAATAAGGCACTAAATATTAACGCAAACCAGATAGTTAGAACTTCCCCGTTATGGCATGATGCTAATTGACATTTTTTTACTAATAATGCCTTAATTAATGGGTTAGTATAAGTTTAGAATTAGTGTTTCCAAAAGTTTTATTCACTCGCTTTGAACATGACGTCATAGTTTTCATTTTGTTTATAACTCAGTTTCTTTTCGTGTTTCTCATATTTAAGTGAGGAATTGAATAGTCAGGCATTATATTAGAGCAAGCCAGATATATAGTTTTTCATTTTAGCACGATTTCTATTTTGGCAATTTTCATTATACTGTCCACCAAACGAATTAAATTAATATACAATTATGATCTAAACATTAATATATTTACTAAATAAATGCTTTTAGTCAGGTTTTAATCTTAATGGCGAAAATCTTGTTACTAATAATTTTTTCCTTTATACTGGTATACTGGTTAAATTCAAACACTAATAAGTATAAAACATTGCCATATTTTAGAAATAGGGTTTGTTCAGCCATTTTTAACGGTGATTATATAAAGACCTCGAAAAATCAAAAATATATAAGAATTTTTTATAGTAAGAACCCGACCGAAGGCAGCAAAAAGAGGTGTGGCTCCAAAAAAAATTTAACCCCCCCCCCCCTCCATTGGTAAATTTTAGCTACGCCACTGAATAACGTTAAATAATTTCCGTTTAACGTAAAATAATAGTATGGGTAGTATAATTACAAATACAAGTTTTAAAACCAATCCCTCATGATTATGATTAATAAAACCAGTTTTGTTATTGCCCAAATTTTCTAAACCAATTCTTCTAAATAATGTATCTACATTCAATTTTATTAGAATTTGAATGAATTTTATATATTTTTTCTAAATTAGCTTTATGCGAGATGCATCCGATGAGGGCTTTATTCTTGATACCAAGAAATCCATCACCTCGTTTAAAATCACGGAAATGGTAAATATATTTATTCCCATAAACTACCATTCTTAATAATAACCGAACATTTTTAATAAAGATTATACTGATTTTTTTTAAAAAAAATTCAATCTGTTATTTGATTAAAAATTTTGAATTAAATTATGTAGTTCATTTTTTAAAATATCAAATTCAGGTCCAAAAAGTTTCTAAATTTTGTTGACACTTGTTTGGCAAAAGATTTTAGAAATCGACCTTTTACCGAGGCCCTTTTAAAACATCCCTTCATTCGAGACTTGGCCAACGTTGAAAAACAGATCAAAATTCAGTTGAGAGAACATATAGATAGAACCAGGAAAAGAAAAGGTAATTAAAAAATAGTTGATAAAAAGCAAAACAACAAAAGAAAATAATAAGATTAGTTTAAAAAAACCAACCCAAGAATAATTTACTTAAAAGACAAGATAAAATTCAGCTTGGGGGACAGATTTACATATAACAAAGAAGGGTATATATATTTGGCACAATGGAAGGAAATATCATTTTTTTACAGATTTTTCGAAAATACCTTTATTTAAAATTTCACATTTTATGATTTATAATGTCACTTAATACATTTCCAATGCATAAAATATCTTGTTAAAATTTAAAATACCATCATTAAGTACTTTTTGTATATTAAATGATTATATATATTTATACAGAAGAGCAAAGGGAGACCGAATACGAATATAGCGGGGGCGAAGAAAATAGCGAGTTACCTCCTGTTATCATAGAACCAGTCAAGCCTAATAATCATGTTAATAACTTACACAACCATTTTATCGAGAATAGGAAAAAGGCCATTTTGGAAGTGGACGAACCAGGGGAAGAACTCGCCGACGAGTACGAAGACCTGACTCCTTTAATAAAAGCAGGTGCTAGGTCAGGTGTTTTGAACATGGGTAGGTCAGGACCTTTCAAAAAATCAAGGTCGGATTTGGCAGAAAAATATTACGATAAGAAAAACGACAAACCCAAATGGTAAATTTGTTTAAATTTATTTAGGGTTTTTTTAAGTAAATCAGGGCTTTTTTATTGAGGTTTTTATAATAATTGAATATTTGATCTACCTTCTGTCTGGTGAGTTTTTTTAATGGTTAATGTTATGGTTTTAAGGTGATTCGATATTTTGAAGTCTTTAGGGGTCATTTTTATTCAGGCAAAAAATATTTATTGAAATTTTTCTTCGATTTTTATAGTGATATAAGTTTCCCGGGAAACTATATTTCGTAGAAAATAGGGAAAAAACGGGAAACTAACTTTTTTATATTTACAGGTCAAAATTGATTTTTTTTTTCATGCTTTAGAAAATATATAAATTATAAACATTATAATTAAACAAATATGATTTAATTTCAACACTATAAACAATATTTAAACAAATATGATTTAATTTTGAGTAATTTGTTAGTTATCTTCGTTTGAAGAAAAATATGATTCCAACTCTAAATTCTAGAATCCAGCAATTTGTCATTTGCAGAAATTCTTTTCCCATAAAATGGAGATTGACTCTTATAAAAACTAATTTTCGGACCTTATCATTTTTTATCCTATTTTTCTAGTTTCGAATGAATATTTCCAAAGGAGGACCATATTCTTTCGGACGCTGCACTTGTCGGTGGCACTGATAAAATCCGTATGGCTAGAGTCGATATATATTGATTGGATTGCAACATAAACCTATTAAAATATTGAATAACACAATTTTAAGATTAGAAAAAGTATTAGATTATTGAAGATTTTTTTAAAATCGAGTAATAATTTTTTAAAAGTTATTATATCATCATATGATATTTCATCTAATGTCTTCGGTAAACACAAAGTAAATAATTTTGAATAAAATCCAATATTTGCTAATAAAAACGATTTTTGTCTTCTATTTTGGCAATTTTAAAAATGAATTCCATCTTTTATAAATAAACTTCCATCTCGCACTCCTTTATATTAAATTTCTCCATTTGAAACTGCGCCCAATTTATTATATTTTTAACTGCTTTAATATATTTTGTACCACAGTTTATATATTTTTACAAAATCAATCTATAAATACACCAATTAATCATCATACACAATTAACAATATATTCGAATACAATTAAAACTGCCTTTAAGCTTAGTTGTTTCTATTTCACCAATGATCGGTCATTGCCCTCTACATCAAATATTCATCCCATGTACACACTATTACCTTCCAGTTCTCAACTTATAATACCTAATATCATTACGGAAGACATATTACCTTCTATCTCAATCTCCCTTCTTCATACCTTCAATTACCATCAACCCTCTAACTAACACATCTTCCAAACTTAAATATAAATAGATTGTTACCACCAACTAAAGGGGAATTAATTAATATTATAAATAAACTAAAAAACCATAAAGCATGTGGTCATGATGGTATCCACAGTGAATTTCTTAAAACAGATCCTCCACTTTGTGCTGAAATTTTTATTCTAATTATGACAAGAGTTTCGCATGAGGGAACATATCCGTCCGATTGGCTCACAGCAATTTTAATTAATATCCCTAAAATAAAAAATCCAAAATATCTTAAAAACTGGAGAGGTATATTACTAAATTCAGTGGTAAATAAAGTTTTTGCTCATATTATTTTAAATAGATTGAAACTTATTATTGAACCTAATTGCGTAGACACACTAGTCTCATTTAAAAAAGGTCATAACGATCTCGAGGCCATTATAGCTCTACTAATTCAAATTGAAAGATAAAATTAGGAAGAATCAACCTTTTTATTGTAGCTTTGGACTTTAAAAGAACATTTGATTCTATAATTCATTCGAGATTATGGACAGCTTTAGAGGAGATAGGAACTCCTACTCATTTGCGAAAACTCATAATTAATTTATACCATAATTTATTTTATCCAAATTATTCACGTTAATCCTAAATCTCATAAAATTCCGGTCAATATTTCAAAAACAAAACAATTAGAATTTATGATATGAATCACGAGGAAAAAATGTTTTTATAAAATATAATAAAAATCGTATTTATTTTATCATAAGACCATTTTTAAAATTGGGAAAATGTTTATATTATAAAAATCATGTTTATTTAAGCAAAAAACATATTATAAATATTGGGGAAACTATAGGGGAAATTTCCAATGTTTTACATCCTTAGATTTTTTACCCTGTTATACGTGTAATTTTATATTTTTAAAAAAATAATTTCAATCCTCGATACCATATATAATTTTAGCCACCCAGTTCCCCAACAACAAATGGTCCCATTAGCTCCTCATCAAAAGGTTAATTTAGTCCCTTCCCCTCATCGGCACCTTCCCAGTCACAAGCTCTTGCTCTCGGATTCTCTCTACGATTCTACCAATAACATCCTTAATAACATCAACAATCTCCATTTCAACCAAAAAGTCAACCCTAATCATGAACCTGTAAAAAGCTCTCAACCTACTGCTAGCGCCAAAAATCAATTGCAACGTTTAAATAATGGAAAAGTTGTCCCAAACAATGTTCATAGGGCTTTATCCAAACCTGGTAATAACTTAAATATTAACCATATTCCGGCCCGAAACGTTGGAGCCAGCCAACTTATAGGTAAATATCGAACCAATAGTTTAGTTTGATAATATGATATGATTTTAAAAGAAATGTAGGTTTATTTAAATTTGCTCTTTTGAATTCATTCATATAACACATTCTTTTTGTGGATAAATAAATGTTTTAAAGTCAAGATAAATTTTCCCTATTGCTTTTCCATGAAACAGATGCGTAACCCAAAAATATTGGGGTTCCTCACCATAAAATATAAATTCTATAGGCCCTTATCTGTAAAAATTTGGCTTAGGCCAATCCTCGCCCCGAGGGTTGCGAAAACTAATTTTTATATAAAAAAAATACTGTATAGCTGTTAACAATACCCCATTACACGCTCAAAAAAATAACGTAAACAATTTAATTCGTAATTCTCTTGTGGATGCAAACATGCCAAACGATTTTATACTGAAGGCCGATATTAAATCGAATGGAAAATTTTTTATCAATCAACCGTCATCTGTTATTCATTCTAAATCGGAGGTATAGCAATTTCATATATTATAGTATTTTGATTTTACCTTGTGAAGTATCATTTCAAACTTGTAAAGTTTCACTTCAAGATTGGGATGATACTTTACTACGGAAAATGCTATAAATTAATCAAAAAAAAAGATTTTTACAATTTAAGATTTTTACAATTTTCCTCATTATTTTATTTGAGATTTTACCAGAGCTTTATGACATTTGTCCGGGATCACCATGATAAATAATCCGGTTTACCTTCATATTCGATTCATCCAACTTCCGTGATCTTTCTTTCTTTAATCACCCCCCCCCCCCAGGTTTAAGCCCGATTCTTTTCATTTTGTAACCACCTCACCCCATATCTTTTATAATCTCTCCCTGAAAACTATTTTCCTAATGATTCCAGACACTTTCTATACTTTAATTTATTAGGATTTGGACAGGCTAGCCGCCCACCTGAGCCGTTTGGGTAGTATAAGCACGGCTCAGCTAGTATCCGAAAACAACGCTTTTTCTGTCCGGACTTCCGTCTTCAATAATAATAATAACGTCAAAACATCGAAACAACAAACATTCGATAACGTGCCTACCATCAATAACGAAGATTTCAATACGCTTTCCAAACTAGATAACGAGAATCATAATAAAGTCAATAAAATTAATAACAATAATATCAAAGCCTTATCACCGACCCGCTCGTGCTCGCCTAGCAGCTCGACCATGTCAAATTCTTCATCATCTTCCAAATCTAGCCATAGCTCTTCTTCTTCTAATAATTCTTCTAACCACTCTGACAAAAATTCTTCCACGTGTTCCGATTCCGCTTGCAGGGCTGACCTGCGCAGTTCAGATGAAGACGCTTTAGACGAAGAAAATAGCGATCAAAAAGCCCTGAAAATTATTGAAAAGGCCAATATCGATTATCCTAATAATAATAATAAGACTCATAATGGTAAACACAAGAAATCCGATCATAAAAATAAGCATCGCAGGAGACGTACAAAGACTAGTAATAACAATGAACTCAACGTGGATGTCAAAGATAGCGTTAAAAATGTGAAAGACAGAAAATCGGCTAAAGTTAAGGAAAAAATTTTGGAAGATATCGGGGAAGGAGAAGATTTGATGGGCGAAGAAATCGCATCCGAACCGGGAACCGTAAATGATAATCGTTTTGGAAAACCTGGTATTTTATATTTCTTTATTTTAAAAAAAAATCTGTCTAAACGAATGATCTAACTAATAATTAATATTGCGTGGTGATTTTTTAAAAATATTTTAGTTCAACATTATACCAAAATATATTTTAAATTTAAAGGAGTCTGATCATTTCGATTGCCTTATTTTTTTAAGTATTATTGTAAAGGCACAGTTTGTTTAATTGATTTTTAAATTTGTGATAACTTCAGCTTCCAACATAATAGGAGCCCAAACCTCCTTTATCGTGAGCAGCCCCTGCAGCCCTCCGAATGACCAAGATTATGACGCCGATTCCGATACGCGCATATTGGACGCCAAAAAGCATTTAGATCGCATTTTACATTATAATAACAATAATAATTCCAACAACATTATCTTCAATGATGGCCAATTTAACGCCAAAACTCGTAGTAATGATACAAAAGACATATTAGTGGAAGACGAAGAAGAGGAGGACGAGTACGGATTTAGGATTATTGGAGGAGCAAAGGAATCGAAAGATTTAGATCCGCCTATAGTTACATCTTTTTTGATATATTGTTATGGTATATAAAGCTCAGATTAATCTTAGTTAGAAGAAGATAAGGATAGATGGGACTTCTTCATAGATTTATATTTATGTTAAATAATTTAGAATACTGAACAGAAAATTTTAAAAGATTTTTACTAATTAAGTTATCAATTTAATTGACCTCGCAAAAAAAATACTTAAAAAATTTGTATATTATTACTAAACAATTATGTAAAGCCTCGCTTTTTCATAACCTCAATCTCGTCAACATTGAGCAAATTTTTGCCCCACAAATTTTTAGTATCAATTTAGAATAATTATTTTACGACGATATTTTGTCTTTCTGCTGTGGAATGATATCTATTTTTTAGATGTTTTTTCTATGTATGTTGGTAATCTTTTTACATAGTTACATATATTTTTAAGCCTGAAGCTATTATCAAATTGTTCATTTTTTTCGATTTGATTGTCACTTTAACCTTAGTGAGTTTCAATGATAGCTTATGGCATGAAGGATAAATTCACAAGTTACTTAATTTACATAATTAAATTGTAATGAAATTAATTTATTCAAAATAAAGTTATTTGGCTTATTTTATATATTTATTGCGTATTATGTATATTTACCGTAATTAATTGTTACATTTATACATGTAATGCATGAAAGTTTGTGCCTTTAATAAAACTTTTTATAGTTAATTAAAATATTTTATAACCTTTCGGTCAACCCTTTTCAAATAGAATTACACATCGGATGTTTATGTAAGGGTGACGTATATTTTAGTATAAGAATGCTAGATGCCCCAATATTATTCCATAAGATTTGGAAGTAAGGGCGATTAATTTTACGTTATTTTTTACCCTCCTTCCTTGTATAGTTTCGAATCACTGAGATAAAAAATCTTTGTCCCATCGCACCATAATAACATTTTTCAATTTAGAAACGGTCGGCTGAAAATCGCATTTTTTGATTATTATGAGTTTTTCATTCAAAATTAATACCTTTCAATAGGAATTGTTTTTTTTTTAATAATAGTTGGAAAATCCAATAGTATTTACATTTAGAGCTCTTTTAGAAAGTATTTTAATTTCGATGAAAAGCCTAAAAAAATTGTTCATAATACGCACTTTGAATGATTTAAATTTAGCAATCTCAAGCAAGTAATGCCAAATCACAAATCCCTCCCGTACAATCATCTGCCCCTATGCGTCCTAGTAATGAAGGAACGCTTATTAATCGCAGCAAAAGAAACTCTTCTACGTCAAACCTTCAAAATCTGATTGCTTCTACTCCTTTGTAAGATAAACATAAATATGGAGAGGGGGCAAGGTTAATACTTTTTTTTCAGTATTCGTTAAAGGGGCAAGTATATTTTATAATCCTCAATCTGACTATTGTTGCCGCACTCTTAGTTAAAGCTCCATACCGAAATATTATTTTTATGATGCATGCACAAATTTTTTTTAAATTACAAATCTAATTATACCACATATATAATGGGCAATTCAACGTCAAATCGATCACGATTCGTTCGACCCCTTTTAAAATTGTTAAAAATATCTGGAATTATTTGGATAGGTAAAAAATAAGAAAGTGGTTTATTTTAGCTTGCTAGCACGCCTGGTTCTCGAGATGTAGGGGCTCATAGGTAAAAAAGGAGCCACTTTGGAATCTATAAAATTTTTTAAATGCTTATATCTCAACAACTATTTATAGTAAAAAAATATATAATATATCATATTGTAGATTATAAAATCTTTAAAGGGCTATCAAAAAAATATAAATTGGCGCCAATTTGAGTCTTTAACTTTCGGTTTACATATATTTCTTTACTTGTATTTTTATGCAAAAAAGGGAGTTTATTTCGAAATTTTTTTTTGCTTTTTATTTGGACACGTTAATATATATACGATGTCAAAACTTTGGCGACGCTCGACTCTTCCAAAATATACATTTTTACCAAAAATTAAAGAAAAAAATAGAAAATATTATTCTTAAGGAAAATGAAAATATTGATACGTTTATAAAAAAATATGATAAATTATTTTCCCCCTTTAAACGGATTTAAAGAATTTTGAAATTTAACATTATATTGAAGTATTGGCATCATGCATTTCCATTAGAAAAAAATAGTCAGAAAATTGTTGAATAAAATACATATATATTAATCATGATCTATGATATTTTGTCAAAATTGCTAAATAAGAAACCGGTGATAATATGTATTGTAAACATTTACATATATTATTTTTGCATGGTCGATCGATATCAATATTTTAGTCGAAAAGAGAGCCTGGCAAATTTTTTTAAAAATATTTCGGGCCGGGCCGGAAAAATTTATCCGAGCTGGGCTTGAAAAATTAGTGTCGATGCAAATTACTAAATAACACTATGTTGAGATTAGAGTTAACAATTATTTTTTACATTAAAACTTGGATATACAATTAAATCAAGTATTGTCTAATATAAGTATAATTATGTGCAATTTGTTGGTTTTAAAAAATTCAATTTTATACTTATCTATGCCTTTATATTAAGTATTTTAATCAAATTTAATATATGAAAGAAATCTTATTATTATTGATATAAATTAGTGATTATTTTAAAAAAAGCCTTGATGATTTTAATCAAATTGATTTTAATTAGCCAACCCTATATTGGAGATTCCTAGCCATGGTTTCGAACCCTTAAGTATAGCGGTTCGGTTCGGTTTTTAGTTTAAAATTTTATAAAGGATTTGTTCTATTTTGGTTTTATTTTAAAAAATTTATATCGGATCGGTTCATAATTTATAACGGTTCTTTTCGGTTTGTTACGGTTTTTATAAATTTGATTTAAAAAAAATAAATCATAAACCATAGATATTAATCTTGTAAAATCTTTTTAATTTATATTTTTATAATTTCTTATTTAATTCAACCATGATAATCTAATAGATATTTTTTAAACTTAGTAAATATAAATTAGACAAATAATTTTTTTTTTATTTCATAAACAAATAAGACAAAAACAAACATGCAAATACAATGAGGAATAAAATAACGCATAAATATAATGAAATTTTTACTATTTATGTTTAAAAAGAGAATTATAACGGATAACTAAAATATTTTCTAATATTTCATGATTTAATTTTCTGCCAAGTAAGGCTAGAAAATGCTGTTTCTACGGATACCTGACTCATACCGCAAATATAGCTAACTTATAAAGTTCTGGCATACTAGATTTTACATTTTCCCAATAATTTAAAAGATTAGTATCTTTTTCTAATCTCTATATTATCGAATGACCAAATTATATATTCTATTTCTATACATTTATTATAATTTACTCCCTGAGAATTATTCTTGTTAAGGCTTTCAAGCGACTTTAATAAATCTTCAAAATCATCATCTTAATTATATTTCGAATGTGAATACGTCAGCATAGTATCTAGAATTTCAATATTCTGATTGTTTAAATTTTGTACAAGTTCCAAGTTTAAAAAAAAAGTTTTTTGGCGATATCTTTTATTTCAAATGTTAAAAACAGTACTTGATTTTTATTAGATATTAGTTATTAATGATAGAATCATTTGATTTTTCCCTAAATTATTAGTAAGTATTATTATAAAAGCTAATTAATAACTAATATATATATAAGAATAAACTTGTTAATTTAACCAAGAATAGTTTTTAGTGATTTTAAGATTATATCTTATCTAATTTACTGGTAATTTGCCTAACCTCTATTAAATTGAGTATTTAAAGTAAAAACAACAAACTTGGTATTGATTGAGATATATGGATAATTTAAAAAAAATTTAATTTGAAAAGAAATCACGAATTTAAAAATTACCCCCAAGGAAAATTAAAATTTCAAATATAGGTTAATAATTTAAAATTAATTATTTTAAAAACCCTTTTGAACCAGTTTAAAATATTTATAACAGTTCGGTTCGCTCTTTTTATATTTTCTTTATAACGGTTCGGTTACAATTACGGTTTAGAAAATTATAATATTTCATTCCGGTTTGGCGGTTCGGTTTGAAACCCTGTTCCTAGCCAACATTAGGTCTTTACACGTATCTAGCCTGCATCATACCTTGGCCTTGTATTTCTCTTAATTTAATTAAATAAAAAAAATTTAATAGGAACTCGAGTGTGCTGTAATAATAGTCCTTCAACCCCACCTTTCATTTACTAGATAACAACTGTTTTATAAAATTTTTACCATATCTAATCTATTTAAAATGATGATTTTTTTTCCTTAATTTTTCAATTCTTTTTTATAATTTACCAGTTTGTATATATATATACATATATATAAAGACTTAACTTTACCCCTAATTCATCTATCCCCAACGGCATTTCAAGTCCTAACACTAGTTCTGTTTCTATCACCAAACCCAAGAACGTTCCATCATCCTTTTTCAACCAACAAAAACGACAAAAATCTTTCATTTCATTCGGATTCGGTCTTCACAATAACAATAACCAACAAACAAATTGTGGTAACGGTAATCTTGCAAACGGAAATAAAAAATGCTTTAATACGCCATTTTCTGCTATCCAGGGATCTAAGAGGTTACATGTTTGGCTTATTTTAATTATCTTTTCTTTTTTTAAATCTTGAGATTAAACTGCTCTATTTGTTTTGATTTTCCCAGCCCAGTATTACTGATACAATTTAAAAAAATTATTTATTTTTTTCACCCTAATTCTTAGATACTCCCGGGTAAATGTTAATGTCTCACCCAATCCCAACCACGATTGTAATAATCACGATGATACGGACCCTTCTTCACCCCCTCAACAAATTCACAATGCATCATCCAATATATCCCACAACCGTAACACTGGTAAAGAGAAATTGAACACCGGGCCAGAAATCCGAAAATATAAAAAGAGATTTGCCTCTGATGTTCTGTGCGCCGCTCTTTGGGGCGTCAATTTGCTGATAGGAACCGATACTGGATTGGTGCTACTCGATAGGAGTGGGCAGGGCAAAGGTTTAGTTTTTTTAAAAAAAAATAACTTTCGTTTTTATTATAATATAGTATTTTCGAGCATTAGAACAATATTCCTTTGGTAAAATATCATTAATTTATTATTATTAAAATCTACCCTTGATTATTATAAGGTTTTAACTCCATTTTGATTAATTTTACAGTGGAAAATTTTTTTGAACTCCATACCCACGGTTAACACTGCAATAAATATTAATACATAAATAATATTAAAAATCTAATGGTTTTTTAAAAGGAACTCCTACTTACGATTTAAGTTTTTTTTTGCCCTAAGTAAATTTTGAAAAGATTTTGAGAAACGATCAAGTAGATGTAATCCTAAGACTCTGGGTACCCCTTGATTCCAAAGAATGAAGTACACACCATCATGTCTAGTTTTATTATCAGGGCTGAGGCGAAGCAAATATTAATAGTGTCCTAGTTTTATAATAAAATTGACGGCATAGTATATAAGTAGTTGACTCTTGAAAGGCGATAGTCAAGGAGGTGAACAAAGGGTCGGTGGGAGTCACGATGTTACTTATATTCATTTTATTCTATGTAATCTTTTATACCAGTTTAATTTTATATTACGTGAATTTGTTGACAATTTTTAATGAGTAAAATTTAACTAATTTTTTTTTATAGTTTATAAAAATTATTTCATATAAAATTAAGATGTTAATTATATTTATTATTAGACTTATCTAAGTGATTTTCACTTCATCATTTTAGCTAGGAAATGACAAAATGGTCCTCAGTACTCCTAAAATACTTTCTATTTGAATTTTTAGATTTTTTAAATTTCATTCTCGAAAGAAATTTATTTTTTGATAATCGATTAACGGGAATGAGAATAAAATATATTTTTATTCAATTTATTATTGCGCCTTATTTTTTTTAAAAAAATAGTTTATCACTTGATATCGCGTCGGCGTATGCAACAAATAGAAGTTTTGGAGGGTCAAAATATTTTAATCACATTATCAGGAAAGAAGAACAGAATCCGTGTTTATTATTTATCTTGGTTGAGAGGGAAGATATTGCGAACTGAAGGGGTAAATTACTACTTTCTTTTAAAAATATCATATAACATTTTCGCATTGAGATAATATTAACAAATAATAGTTATACATAGATAACTCAAAAATATAAATGGTTCTAAGGGAATGGAATACTTATATTTCAGTAACCATAATTAATTTTATATGTAATCTAAAATGCCATTTTGTTTCCAATTAATTTGTTACCTTTTTTTGAATAACATTAAAAGATTTTGTTAATATAATATCTTACCTACCAAGGTATTATTTAAATATAAATTAAAAATTAGTTAATCCCTTGAAAATATATAATTTAATAATCTTAAAGGATAAAAAAATAAGAAATATTTAAAATGGTTTGCAAGATATTTTAATTTTTAACCTGAAATTTATTCAATAATTTTCATTCGGGCTGGACTGGGTTTATTTTCCTAATGCTTTTATAAATCTCGTTTTAAGAAGAAAAAGCCAAAATTTCTTTTTCCTTATATACATCTATAAAATTTTTTATTCAAATTTTTTTGAATCGGAGTGTAATTCGAATCTTTTCTATTTATAAAAACAATAACTTCACACCGAATGGGACTGGCTTGATTGGTTAAAAAAAATTAGCATTTTTTGGCCTATTTATTAAGAAAACCTTAAAACTGCCATGTTTTGAAGTAATATGCTTATATGAATAGATTAAAGAAGGCTTATTAATAATTACTTGTTTTAAAAAAGAAAATTGTGCACGAAAATAACTTTTTTAAAAAATTATCAAAACCAGGTGGAAAAGAAAAATGGTTGGATTAACGTGGGCGAATTGCAAGCCGTTGTTCATTTCAAAATAGGTTTAACAAAAAAAAATTATTTAAAAACTTAGTTTTCTTAAATATTCTGGCTTTTTTAATATTAAAATGTTACTCAAAATTTACTTTAAAAAACTCATTTTAGTAAAATTCGAGCGGATAAAATTTATGGTGCTGGCCTTAAAGAATTGCGTGGAAATATACGCTTGGGCTCCCAAACCTTATCACAAATTTATGGCTTTTAAAGTATCACCAATTTTTATATATAATTTAGTATGAAACTGAGTAAAAATATTCGCTACAATTATCGTGTTTATGTATTATTGTTTTTCATTATTTTATACTTTAAAAACTAATTAAATTTTTTTTTACAGCGGTTGGCTTCAGCTATATTTTTAGAAGCTATCAGGAAAAGTGAATTTATATTTTTAAAATTTACTTAATCTATTATCAACTATAAAATACTTAATATAAATCTCTTTAAATAATATTTTATATTGATTTTCAAATGAATTTTTAAGCTATATATTTTTTGTAAAAAAATATTTTTTATCATATCATTAGTCCTTCCCAGATTTGGAACACAAACCACTCCTGGTCGATTTAACCATCGAAGACGAATGCAAACTAAAAGTTATATATGGTTCGGACCGCGGCTTTCACCTGATTGACGTGGATACATGCAAAACATTCGACATTTATATCCCTAATTACGTAAGTATCGTCTGTAAATAAAGGATCAAATCCTGATAGATAATATCAATAATTTTATATTACGTGTATATTTATTTTTACGAAAAAAGGAGAGAGAATGTGAATGTATACAATATTCATTATTTTGATAATTCTTACTTTTAATAACTTGACTTGAATTGATTGACTTAAATGTTATGCCAATGCATCAAACTAATAATTGTGGTGTGATATTTATTATTTTATATCAGGTGCCATTTCCGCTCATACCTCATATCATAGTCATCTTACCTAACAGTGACGGCAAGCATTTACTGCTGTGTTACAATAGTAAATAATTGTTATATTATTTTAAATTATGAATATATTATGATTTGTAAATCATACTGATTTTTTATGTATAGATGAAGGTGTCTATATCGATATTAATGGCAAGCTTACCAAAAATATATCTCTGCAATGGGGAGAATTGCCAAGTTCGATAGGTATAATATGCCTTAAATCTCTATTTGTTATTCAAAATAGTTACAATGTTATTCGAATTTCTTATTTTGATTATTGAATAAAATATAAATAACCCCATTAAAATCAGAGATTTAAAATTAGGACAGGACAATTTGTGAAAAATATTTTTTCAGGCTAGGCTGACCACTTAGTTCTAAGTATTTAAAATTTGATCATTCTAGATATTAAAAGGGAAATCTAAAATGTGAGAAGAGAATAAATGTTTGCCAATCATGTGATTTTTGAACCAGCGGTTTCTTAAGGCCTAACCCAAATTTTTAAAATAAGGCTCAGCTTTGGTCCAGGTCTGCAGTTTTTTGAAAATATTAAAACTTCCAGTAATCTTTTAATTGAATGTTATTGTTACTTTACAGAGATTGTTACCGTGATATATTTCTTATTTAATTTTAAGTTTTATTATATTGTATATATATAGCATTTTGTCATCTAAAATATTATTTTAAAAATGAAGCTTACACCGGATCTAGACAAATTATGGGTTGGGGCAATAAGGCTATCGAAATTCGTGACGTTTATACGGGCCATCTAGATGGCGTTTTTATGCACAAAAAATCTCAAAAATTAAAATTTTTATGTGAACGGAATGATAAGGTATGCTTATATATTTATAAATTATTTATTCTATTATAACATAGTAATTTTAAGTAATGAAATATCAATTTTTATATTACTTATTCTAGTATATTTCGATTTGTGTGGTTTGAAAACCCTAAAAATATAGCTTAAAAATGCAAAACACTTAGATTATCAAGAGTTTTATTGAAACAAGTGAACTATACAAATTTAAGCTTAAATACTTTTATTTTATCATAATTAGAATGTTATGCTAATTTCCATCGAGAGAGTTTGGCAAATAAATGATATTTAACTTTTACGATTGCATTTCACAGGTATTCTTCTCCTCGGCACGACCCAACGGTGGATCGTCGCAGATTTATTTTATGACTTTAAATGTAAACGGTTTATCCAATTGGTAAAAGAAAATGGGAAGTCTTATTATCGAAAATAGTTACTCTTTTTGAGACTTAAATATATTGTATTTAATATTTATTTTTTATAAAATCGCATTTTAAAATATTGCAAACCCGATTCATTTAAATATTATATCCATTAATTATGTGCTTCCTTCTTTTTATATATCTAAACGTTATTTTTAAAAAAATATTTTGTTACATGGCCACGATTATATTATTTATATTTCAATTACAAATTTTTACCTGCCTAAAAATGGCTGAGGACCATTTGCAAACATTTTTTTATAATTATTATCAGACGTTTTTTTAAGATTACAAAATAGTGTTGTTTACCACCCAATCTTATATCATAAAATTTCATACTCAAAAAAAAATTAGGCTGGAAAACCAATTTTAAAAATAAGTTGTACCAAACCAAATTTATTGTAAAATATTAATATTTTTTTTTTAAATTAATGGTAAAGTAAAATTAATTTTTTAACCTTATTAAATTCAAAAAAACCTGCACTTTTTATTTTTTACAACCCTACTCAAAATGCATTTATTAAAATTATCAATGTTTTTTATTTTAATTTTGATTATTTGATACAAAAAACTCATTTTAGATCTAACAGAATCTTCAGAAATAATACTTAACAAATACCTTAAACAATGTACCATATATAATCATAGCATATAGGCACTATTGTTCTGTTTAGGGAGAAATGTTTTATAGGTTTGTCTAATTCTTAATATTCGCAGAATAAAAAAAATCATGGTATTTTAGCAATTATTTACTACTTTTGACTTACCTAATATTTATTATTTTCAAAACAAATAATAAACGCTTAAATAAAATAATTAATAAAAAATCTCTGTATAAATGTCACTTTATATATTTTGCCAAAAAAATAGTTTATTTCTTAATACATTTTATAATATATTTTTTTCGTTATTTATAAAAAAAAAATACCTTTTTATACTATTTTTTTATACAATAAATCATTACTTTGCCATATCTTATAAATTGAGTGATTTTAGTATTCATTTATGTATTACTCCCGATCGATGTTCTACTACAACATGCTTATAACATTTCCGTTAATTGCGTTTTTCCGCTTTAGGCTCGACCCACATTAGACACTATTTCGATTTTCTGAAATCTCGCTCACTGCGATGCGACCTTTAGAGTTTGTCTTAAGTTTCCGGAATTCTTTTATATATAAAATGCTTAACGTTTAAAATTTATAACCTGTCCGAAACCTTATAGGTGGCTTTATAATAGTTTAAATTTGATCTTTTTAGTATATAAAATTTGCCAGTGTGAGAATTGTTATATTTCCAAAAATAATTTTTAATTTTTATTAAAAGAATTCTTATTAGTTCGTTATATACCTTATTTTTAAATATTTTTTTAAAAAAATAGTAATATACTTTTCAAAAATAATTCTCGAGATGTTTATTATCCTTCACCGCTAATAATTTTTCAGATTTGATTAAAACATCGTACTTTTTAACATTCCACTAATAATTAAAAATTGGATCAGGACTAGTAGCTATCTATTTCTTTAAAAAATTCTTGGTTCAGATAGGTGGGCAAAATTTTTCTCGGATCGGGTAGGACCAAATAATGCAGGGCTTTTAGCAGACGTTCTGGATTTAATTATTTGTATTTTAAAATGTATTGTAAATTTTTGATTCAGAATAATCTTTATTTTTTAAAAATTGCTAAACTTTGTTTTGATTATGAAAATTAATTTGTAGCGAAAACCGATTTAAAAAGCGTATTTCTTCAATTGACCAAATTTACTTCATACAAAAATTATGCAAAATTAATTGAAATAGCAAAAACTTTAATTAAAAACCATGTAAAACAATTAACAATTTTATTAATATTGTTGTTATTATATAAAAATACAAATTTAGGATACATCAATAGTAAAAATTTTAATTTTTACTAAATATGATGTATCTTAAGTATATTTTTTAAATAAACAATGTTTTAAATATTTTCTAAGAACCTGAAACGCGATATTTTTTTGAAGCAAAATTAATTATACTGAAATTATTACAAATTAGCTAATGTAATAAGTATAGGTAGGGAAACGACTTAAAAACATGAAACAAATGTAAATCAAAAAGATGAACGGAAAATATTTTCTTATTTTATACATATTTTTCAAAGCATGATATTTTACAATAAAATAATACTATTATATAATATTACTATCTTTAAAAAAATTTATTTTACATTAATTCATTCATTAACACGCCAGAAATTGGGTGAAATGCAATTTCATCACCCGCGTAGGAGTTGAAGCGTGTTTTGTGTCACGTATTTTCATTATTATATAGACCCGATGTACAATTAAAAATTGTATATATTTGAAAGTAACAAGAATGTACATTTTATTTTAGAAAATCGTGCTTCTAAAATAAAAAATTATTTTTTTTATGATAAACTATTTCAATCAACTAATATTCTATATTTTTATCCTCAGTTATTATCCCTTCGTTCTATCTGATAATAAAACTGGTAATGTAAAACTATTATTTATCACATATTCACTAAATGTTTTGTGTATTAAGTTCCGACGTTAGTTATACAAATGATTATTTTTTGTCAAATATAATTGTCTATTTCAATGGTGTCGTTGGCTTTTGCTTAAATTAAATTTAATCAAAAAGAATGATTTAATTTTTCATAAGATCATTTTGAAGTGTTGGTTTCCGCTCAAGTTGGCAATATGAATGAATGTATGTCAGCATGTATGATTAAGGTCCTGTATGATCCATGTAACACCATATGCAAATCCAAATTTAATGAAGAGTTCATACAAAACTTCAAGGATAAAAGAGACTATGTTAGAGCGCGTTTTATAGGTAAACCTTGGGAAATACCTCTGAAAATTGTTAAATATAATAACCTACTTTTCTATATTTAATAAAAAAGTTGTTCAATATTCAGATGATATATGCATTTTTAATTATAGAGGCGTTTACTTTTCCTTTTGTAATCACTTGAATTATTAACCCAGAGCATAATTTTAAAAAGATTGACTTAATAGGCTTGTTCAGAAACAGTATCATTTTAAATTGTTCGAAATGAAAATGTAATAATTAATTTGTAGTTTTAGGAGTAAGAAAGTAATACTTTTAAAAATAAATTAATATAATTGAATTTTTGCTTATTTTTTTTAAAAAAAGCCATCTATATATTGCAATGGTGTCACTAACTTTTTCAAATTAAAAAATTTCATAACAAATTAGCCATAAAATCAAAGGGTTTTTCTAAACTTTCTTTCGAGGTCCACCCTCCCCCACCCCTCCCTATAATACCATTGTTATATAAAAAAATTATAGACAAAGATTTTTTTTTATTAAGCATCTGATTAATTTGTTTCTGTATCCGTGAACTAGAAAAATTACGAACATTGAATTGTTCACGCATAGAAAAATCTTACTAGTAATATTAAAAAAATTAAATTTATCAGTAAAAAATATAAAATAACATTAAGGAATTAAATTTAAAAAAATATTGTGGTATGATTTGACGTTTTAAAATTTGCCTAAAAATAAAAATATTTTGAGGTAAACGTAATTTCAACCTAGATTTGATATATAAAATACGAATAGAATAAGAAATTATTTTCATCTTATATTCGATTCGATTAAAAAAAAATAAAAATTTTTGTATTTTTAGAAGTGAAAAAATGAATTATTAAATTTAAAAAAACGATTATAAATGTGGGAAAAAAGTTCCGCAAGAAACATGTTACGAATAATTTCAGATAAATGTTAATGTATTTAGAATATTTATGAATTGGAATTGATTCGAATTTAGAATAACCTCGAATAATTCCATCAAATAAACTTTTTTCTTTTTCGTAAAATAAGACTAGTGGAATCAAATAATTCGTCTATAGTTTAACCTAGCTTGCTTTAGTTTAGAATCGAAGAGCTGGGCAGTCTTGGATTTTTTTTAAATTATAGATTTTGACAAATTTAAATGATACATTTAAGATTTACTTATTTTTTTTATCTCTAAATCACATTCTATTCCTATAGCCATTTAGAATTTTAAAAAGAAAAAGCTAGGGCTCAATTTAAACACTACATATTTTCTTTTAAATATAAGATAATAAGTATTGCCAAATAAAATCATAGTGGATCTCTCTACGATCCCTTTTCTTATAATAATACATACATTATACAAGGCCGGGTGAGTCATGACCATCAGTGAATGGCAAAATTTACAGGTAGAAACTTAATTTTTTGCCTGGCCCGGTTTTAAATTTTCACGAAGGTTGTCGGGCCCGGCCCGGCATAAAAAATATTTTTCAATTACAAGGCCTAAAAAATAAAAATATTGGCTCATGCCGAAATTATTATATTTCCCATTATGTTAAATGTATCCAATCATTTGGTGACGATAGTACATTCGACTGGTGAAAAAATTATGAAAACAATTTTCTAAAACTTAAGCTCAATATCTCAATTTTTTTTTATAAAATAAATATTTTATTGTTTGAGATAATTTCGTATTTAAAACTTTTTTAGACCCATACATAACTTTTTCCAAAATAGCTTTCTGTCCTAATATCATTGCCAAAATGCCATTGTGTATGAAAAAAGAGTGGCCAAAAAAGCTATGTTCGAGACGGGCCTCACCTGACTTGGGCCAAATATTTACCAATGGGCTCATATAAAAAAATCGATTCTACAGGGCTCTCACTATTCTTGTTTGGTGCAGTCACAAATAATATCATTTCATCAAGGGCGTCACCACCGAATCCTTGTTATTAAATTGCTTGATTTGATCGGATTTTTATAAAGGGCCAACTCAATATTTTAACCAAAAAATTTGGGATTTGCTAATATATGTCAAACCTTTTTGACATCAGAGTTAAATATTCAGTGGTGATATTTTTCTGGATAAAATATTGAGCTAACCGTTTTTAAAAACGGCTCAAAGAACCGTTTAGCAACACTAACTAACGGATGGGGTTAGATCTTTTAAAATGTATTGTGAAATATTGTTAATGTTAAATACAAATTAGATGTGTTTGCTGTGATTCTAAACCACCGGATAAGTTTTAGACTTTACCATTAAAGGTATTGTGAAATATTGGTAATGTTAAATACAATAGATGTGTTTGTTGTGATATTGGTCTTACTAACACTTAACCTTTAAAGCCTCATGACCTAATTTGGCATCATCAACTTATATTTCATTTTATTAAAACAACCAATTATTTAATTTGACACCACACTATAAGTATAAAATAAGGTACAATCGTTTACAAACATCCTTTTCCTATTCATATATGTTTTTTCTTTATATTTTAACTTTTCGCCATTTTTGTGTTTTATTGACCCTTAGCTTTGATGATATACCTCAGTGAATAAGCGTCCATGGAAGCAAGAAGTTTTATTTTTATACTAAGTTTGAAAATATACTAATATGGAAGCATGAAAATTGATTTTTTTTTTAAAAAAAACATAAAGAGAAATCATACGAATATATTGCATAATTTTAAAAAATAAGCGTTAGTAAAAAAATGTTTAATTTTATAATAAATAAAATATTTTTAAAAAAATCGGATAATTTTTTATAATTTTAAAAAAAATCTCCACCCATTTATAAATGTATAAATGTTGATAAAAAATTGATTATAAAAAAGGAAGACCAACACCAACTTTACAAATTTTGAGGAAACTAAAATTACAACTTTTCATTAACTTTGGTTCCAATAATCACAAGTGCAGAGCAGGGATTTTTATCTTTATAAAGAGTAAACATTTATTGTATAGAAACAGGATGGATCAAAAATAATTTTCCAATCTATCATTTATTTCAATAACATTTAATCTAACAATAATTTTTATAATTTAGTACTTGAACATTTTAACTCAAAAACAAAGGCGAATTCCACTCATCTGTAAATCTTAATATTTTGTATAATTCTAGTCAGCGTCACTGATATACCATCTATTTCAAATGTTTTGCTGATAGAATCTGAGACAATTTTTATCTTAGCATTTCCAATTCCTAATGATATTGTATTTTTGCACCCGATAATGCCAAATTGTTTCAATTTTTTTTCTATACATTATAAAATAATATGAAATAAAAATTTCACATATATGGATTATATAAATAGTAAATATTTTTTTAAGTTGGATTTTAAAAGGTTTTAATTTTACAAGAATTAGGAAATATAGCAAATATTTATTTCATAATTTCTTATAAATAATATACATATATACAAAATATATATAATATATACAATATATATATAATGATAATAATTTGTAACATCGTAAAATATAATAGAAATTAGATGATATTCATAATAAAAGTTTGTATTATCACCAATCATTGAGCTACTTAATAAATCAACATTGATTCATTAATTTTAAAACCAAAATTGGAAGAAAAAATCCAAAATATTATGTTGTTGTAATCGGAGTAAATCCAATATCGGTATTAAGATTATTATTATTATCAATTTGTGGATTGATTTTGAGAGGCATAGAAAGTGAGGACAAAGCTCTCTATATTTGATGTATAATTTCATATTTTTAAATTTAAAATTTATTATGAATTCGTCAATTAACAGGTATAAATAGAGATCAAAAAAATTTTAAATCTTAATTCATATTATTTTTTATTTCCTATTTGTTCGTTATAGATATATAGATTATAGAGTGAAATGAAAAATAATTTTAACATAAAAATGAACCTGAGCTTCGAGGTTAAGCGTTTTTTCGGTAGTAGGAGAAAAGAGTAACAAATTGTGGTCATTATTTTCGTCGACCAATAGCAAATTATCTTTCTCAGTAAGTGAATCAAATGTGATTATATCAGATGATTCATTAGTTGGCAGAGATTTGGAATTAGGACTATCCTTGTTATCGGAAGAGGTTGAAATAAGTGCGAAGGAGGAATAATCCCTTTTATAAAACTGTTTACCTTGCTCATTGTTACTTAATTTGTTTGATTTTTCCATGGACCATTCCTTGTCAGATAAAACTTTGCCAGAGTCTGTTAGAAGTGTAAGTGTAAACATATAAATGTTTGATTATACCTAAACAAAACAGATGAAATTATAATAATTAAAAGAATTAGACCTTTAGATGATGTTACCTAGCCAATACGCCAGCTCTTACAATGTCATTATCAGAATTATTTAATGAAACTGGAAACATTGATAGTAGCCTTGTTAAACGGCTCAATTTCGCGAATTTTAAATAGCCAAAATATCTTATGCGTGCCTAAGACTTTGCTAATAAATGTCCAAACTTTTCTGCGATCTATGAGTAAAATCTCCAAGCTTGCATAATATTCTTTGAATAAACATTTGCTTAGCGGTTTTTAAACATGGAGCCGTTTAACAACACATTGATAGTTCATATAAAAGAAGTCTCCTTAGCGAGAAAAACCATAAAAAATCATTACCTATATTAAATTTGGGTAATGAAAAATTTTGATTTTTTGTTTTTATTAAAATATTAGATAAATAACGTATCTTTATATATATAAAAAATATTGTTTTGGGATGGCTGTGTGGCTCAGAGGCAACAAAATTTTGAGAAAGTACAACAAGTATAACGACCCAGGTTCGATTTTACATTTTTTCTGAAATCAACCTAGTCGTGAAGGTAGCTAAAAGTTAGAGATAGTATAAAGATCTAAGTTCGAGTCAATATAATTGAAAATGGTGCTAGTTCTTACATTTTAATAAAATTTTATGACTTAATATTTATAAATAAATAAAATTTTATATAAAATTTTTTCTACCGATTTTAAATTATTAATTGATATCATTAAATCTTTCAAATAAATACTTAAGAAATTATAAAAAAGGCTGATACCTAGCCATGGTTAGTGTTGTCAAAAATCTCAATCAAGATTTTAGCCCAAAAAATATCCATTAAACCATGAGATATTTCCAAAAGAGAGCCAAATCTTTCTGCTATCTTTAGGTGGAATTTTGAAAAGTTATTTTTTTGGCTAAAATCTCAATTTAGCAATTTTTTAAAAAGTCTGCTATATCGAGGTTTAACAATAATAGGCATATGAACCTTTAAATAAGAGTGGATAAAATAATTTCGGAAAGAAAATTTTTTTGAATATTTCAAAACCATCCAACAATTTACGTAATTTTCCTAGCCCTATAAATTAGTGATTAAAATATAAAAATTAAATTTAAGGGATGAGTTATATTAAAAATGTATTTTAAAAGTTTCCTAACGTATGTTAAAAACTGACCTAAATATTTCTTCCAATAAATAAAATACTCAAGATTGGAACAATTTTATATATATGGTCATCTTAATAACTTGTAAGCACAAAGCAAGGCAGAGGAGCGGCTGATGATGAGGAAAATGCCATAATATTATCGATCGAGCTAACGTTTAGACCCTTCAAATGAGAATGGGAAAGGATGTCATTTAATTTTGAAACCCTAAGGTTCTTATCCTGTGTATCAGTACTTTGCAAAAATATGTGGTTCCTTGTATTTGGATTAGTGTTTGCTTGTGTCATTATGTTTGAATTAATATTAGTATTATGAGAGCTCACGTTGGAAACCTTCAGACTCTTACAAAGCAAAAGATTGTTGATTTGGTTAATATTCAAAATGCGTTTGCCTATAGTTTTAGCGCCTAATTCCTTGGATGAACTCAAATTATTTATCTGGTTCAAAATATTGGAGCTAGAAATACTCGTTGAAGAATTGTTTAGGTTGTTTATAAGAAGGAATAATTGTTGATTATTGCTAGTTTTGGATTCGATATTTGAATTGCTGACGGAATCGACATCAGATAATTTGATCCTTTTGTTTGAGGGCTTGGGTTTGGCGTAAGCACTATTGTTTATGCTTATTTGATTTAAATCATTTTGGGCTTGTGACCGGTTTGGGGAGGTTAATTCTCGAGCTAAGGCTTGAAGATATTTCCTAGGGGATGAGCTTTCATTAATGCTGGTCATATATGCAGTGTTATTAAAATTACTAGGACTATTAACATTATAATTTTCGCTCGTGAATTCGGACTTAATTACTACATTACTATTTTGGAGATCCATTTGACCCAAAGGAAGAAACTCTTGCTTAATAACTTGACTAGGAGTATTGCCCAAATTATTGGGTTGATTGATTTTACTGATTGATTGGGGATTAGTATGATATTGTTGACCCTTAATTGAGATCTGTTGATTTTGTTGATGCTGCTGATGTTTGAGTCGATATTTGTTATTGAGGGCAAACAAAAAGTTATTATTAAGATTCATTTTGTTGTTGTGAGCATTGAGTGGTGGATAAGAATTTTGATAAATATTATAAGGGTTATTAACTAAGTGATGTTTGACAGGGTTTGCCCTTTTGTTAGTGTTACGTATTTGACCGATAGTGTTGAGGCCCACCCCACACCAATAATTTCCGTTTATATTATTGTTGTTAATAGCATTGTTGTTGTAAAGACTTTGATTTAAAACTTGGGAGTTTAAATGCAAAGATTCATCCTCTATTATTAATTCTTCTTCGTGAATTTGCTGAAGTTGTTCAGCATTCTAAAATATTTATTTAATAAATATATTTATGGTGGTTGGAAATTTTCATATATTTGGGCAATTAAAAGGAGGTCCTTTATTTACCAATAAATAAGATAATGTAAAGCAAAATAAAACGGTTTGAAATTCATAATTAATATGATTTATATAATATAGGCTAAATAATATAGGAGTCAAAATAAACGAAACCTGGTTTAATGGTTATATATGATCTAAATTTTCTTAAAATTTAAATTTTAGAGCCCTACCTCAACCTGATCTAAAGGTATACGCCTTATGGTGATTTATTAAATCTTCAAAAATATTAGACTAACGTCACAAATTATATATTATTTTGCAGCTCTTAAAGTTCTACTTAAGATATTTTAAAGAAAATTAAAATATTTCAAGTATTTTTTTATTTTCGGTTGAAAATAAAAATAAAGAAGGAATTTTTTATTAAGTGTCGAAACTAGGAATTATTACCTTTATATTTAAACTTTCCATTTAAAAAATGGATGATAAATGTATGTTATTTTTTTTTAAATAAAAACATCAAAAATAAATGGAGTTATATTTAAAAATCGTTATAATATAATAGATTCATAAAAACCGATATGATGTCCTGAGGCGATATGTAAGCAAGCAGCGCGTGTAATCGGCTGTTTATTATATAAACAATATTTAAAAATAAACATAATTATTTTATGTATTAAATATTATTAAAAAATACCTTATGCTGAGGCAATATAAAGTCATGTCGCTGATACATGATATACTGCCGCTATTATTTTATTAATAGGCAAGGGCAACCAAACCTTTTCCTCAATTGGGGTAAAAGAAGGATGGTGATGATCCATGGGATGTAAAAAACAATCTAATTTAATATTTGAGTACTGTGGTGTGGTGTGGTTAATCACCAAAAATCTTCATAAACACTTGTAAAAAATTCTTAAATAATAAAAGAGAAGATTATTGATGTATGAGATATTATTAATTCTTAAATCTTCAGATAATGGCTGTAATTTTGATTTAATTGTACTTAAAACTCAAAGAAAATAATGCAGATATTTCCTAACTCCCTGCTAAATTGAATCTGAATCTTTCTCGAAATTTTATATCTTCTGAATTGTATTGCTCATAATATATCAATGGCGGTCGGTTAGTGAGGCAACCGGCAATTTTAGCCATAATGAAAAGATCGTTGAATCGCGCCAACACACTAAGCTACAATTTTTAATATGGCGGCAGTTGAAAATTTCGCTTTTTGTATAGTGCAGTTAATCTATTCGAGCCTTAATATATTTTAAAGATGGGTCAATAATTTTATTATTTTGGTTTTGCAAATGGGCCGCAATGTCAAAATTCAAATATATTACAAAATAATTTAGATATTAGATATTACCAACATTATTATAGGCAATTATGGAATGGATAGTCGCTTGATAATTATTCCAATGAAATTCTCGAACTGGTCTTGGCTAACAAATGGACAATTATTTTATGACCAATCAGCTTAAATTTTTAATTATTCTCCTTATTTGTTTTTGTAAATTATATATCTTTCGTTTGTAAATAAGACGCAATATTTTCATATGAGAATCTGACTTTCACATCGGGCTTGGACTGTCAGAATCGATTGGCCGGACAGTATATTTTTTAAAAAATAAATCCAATGCAAAAGTTTCAACGCCGATTGAAATTTGGTTCGATCGAGCAGGAATAAGTTTGAACAATATGTATATAAAAAAAATCAAGTTATTTTAAACATAGCGCCATGTGATATAAAAATAATATTTAAAATAATAAAAATTAAAAACGAAAAGTCGCTATCGATGGTAATGATCATTTCTAGATAGTTTCAGCAGTCAAAAAATATCCAATTTTTTTTAAAATTCTACTGGAAATACGAAAACAGAGAATATTTTAATTTTACCATTTCAATTTACGAATATATATATTTTGGGTAAAAATAAGATTTAATGAAATAGCAATTTTCGATATTAATATTAGATTTGATATTGTTAACATAAAATACTTCTATATTTAATAAAATCTAAAACAAGAATAATTAGAAAAAAACATAAATATTTTAAAACGGTCTTTTTATTTAAGACCATGGTCTGGGCCAGTCTTTTATTTAAGAACCGTGGTCCGGTCCGATTTGTGTGAATCGGCCCTGTTCGGACAAAAGATCGGACCGTGGCCTTCACTAGTCAATTCTGATTAGCTTTGAGGTTAAGGTAATTTTTAGGCTTAAAACTCGAGGCAAAGACTAAAAAGAGATTTAAAGCCGAGTTAGTCAACCCCTACACTGAGTTATTAGTATTAAAAAAATGTAGTAGGCAAAGAAAAATTCAGGATTAAATATTTTTAAAAATATATACAAGGCTTAAAACTCGAGGCAAAGCCTAAAAAGAGATTTAAAGCCGAGTTAGTCAATTAATTTTCCTACACTGAGTTTAGTATTGAAAAAATGTAGGCAAAGAAAAATTCAAGATTAAATAATTTTTTAAATATATACAAATAATCGTGCTTGTATATAGCATAGTACCTTTAAGATTGTGATCATATCATCTCTATAATTGAGGATAGCTATATCCATTGGGGTTTTGTCAAACTTGTTTCGTGCTGATGGCCATGCTCCACTTTTTAGCAACAATTCCACAATATCTAATTCCCCACTTTCCACTGCCCAATGTAAAGGCGTCATATTTAACTATTTTAAGATTTAAAAAACAAGACATACTTTAATTAGTACTTACAATATTATTATTGTTTTTCAATAGTTCGAAAAATTATAAGATAAATTAGGTAAATGGGTAATTCCATACCAAATCGATAACTTTTCGGCTCAACCTTTTTAATTTCGATAAAATTTTGTATACTGAGAGAATATCATTAGAAAGCATCGAATCCAAAATTTTAGCCTCCTAGTACTCATAGTTCCTGATATATCAATGGTCAAAAGCAGGGATGCGAACCCGACAAAATTTTTGCCCGGGTTCGGTTCGGGGTATAAAAAAAAGGTGGGTTAGGTTCGGGTTCGGTTCAGGGAAATATTTTTGAACCCGGGTTTGGTTCGGGTTCGGTTCGGGTTCAAGAATTTTTGAGTTGATAAAAAAATTCTATATTTAAATCATAATAAAAAACTAGACATAAATTTGATATAAAAAATAAATTTTTTATTTTATTTATAGGTAAATATAGTTAAAAATACAAAGCATATAGTCATGTATCAATTTTAAAAATTTTATTTAGATGTATTAGCATAATATCTTCCAAGAGTTGTTCACTCATCCTCGATCTATGTGGTGAAAGAATGAATTTCAAATGTGAAAAAGATCTTTCAACGCTAACCTATGTTAAATGTATTTATATGTAAAAATATGATAAATTAACTTGGGTTGCAGGAACAGCAAATAAGATTTTAGATAAAATATATAATTCAGGGTGTTCCAGCTTAGCAGACTCACAAAAATGCAAAATATTTTCCTTCTTATCTAATCTTTTATAATCGCTAAATCCAGTAATTATTGTTCCAATACTTTTCTCAGCAATCGTTGGCCCTCTTTTAAGTATTTTATCCTGCCTTTCTTTAAGTATCAATTTCTCTAAATCATCTTCTTGTTCAATAACTTCATTGGAACTAATATCATCAGATAAAATCGGCGTTGTTAAGCTTTTAATTCGTCTCCATAAATTGAAAAGATGCCTTTTCGCACAAATCTTATCATCATCACTAAGTAATACCTGTAATATTTAAGGATTTATATTGTTTATATTTTATTATTCCATAAAATAACAATTTTAATATAAATCTAAAATAATTAATTTACTAAGCTTTTAATTAACCTTGTATCTTGGGTCCAGGTATATGGCAGCTAAGAGAATTTCGTTCTTTATAAACCTTTCTTCTCTGTTCTTAAGACAAGAATATAGTAATTGAGCAAGATGGTTTGGATTTTTTTCCAGTTCGATGCAGCATCTTAACCATGCTGCATAAAAATCTGTCAGTGTTAACTGTTCAGATTGGAATTGTTTGGTTGCGATTTTTAGCGGTTTTAAAATTTCAACAATCGTTATTATCTCTTTCCAATCTTCAGTCAATAAATAATCAGATTGCTCTGAAAAAAAATCTTCGATATTGGGTTTTAGTAAAATCAGCCTTTCTAACATATCATGGGTTGAATGCCATCTGTGGCAATCTAACACAGGCTTAGGGAGTTTCATATTTTTTAAAAACTTTTGGTAAGTGGGATGTCTTAATTTTAAATTTAGGCTCCTAGCTTTTGCAATGGTTTCCACAATAGGTGATAATTTTATAGCATCTTGAAGTGCCAGCTGAAGTGTGTGAGCTGCACACCGTATACTATAAATCGGATAGGATATAATAGTTGATAGAAAAGTATTTTATATATCATCAATATCATATTTATATACATTTACATCCATATTTTCCTCATCTGCTGATTCACTCCTTATATCATAATCAGTTTCAGGTTGCAGGAGCTTTATAGCTCTTAAAAAATTACAACCATTATCAGAAGTAATTGTGTATATTTGTTCAATATTAATTTTAAATTTTAGTAAAGTTTTTAATATATTCTCTTTTATATATTCTCCTGTATATCTCTCTTTCAGCTCTACAATTCCAAGAGTCCTCAAATTTATAATAAACTTTGATATAAATTGAATATTTACACCAAGAATTGACCTATCTAGTCGTTGACTGCATCAACTTTTAAACTTATTAATTTTCATTCTACCTCTCTCGATATTTTGTCTCTAATTGATTGGGCTGTTTTTTTAATAGTTCTGGATAAATTTTCTTTGTTTATAACTAAATTGAGCCCAGATAGGAGTGGATTTATAATTCTTTGAAATCCCGAATCTTCAATAATTGATAAAGGCCGGCCATTTACAGTAACAAGTTCTAGTATAGAACTCATTAAATCATTAGATGATATATTTATACTTATATGCTTTTTTGGAAAAAAGGTTTCTATATTAATTTTAGGTTTTTTTGCCAATAACAATTCCTGATATTTGGTTTTTTCATTTAAATAATTTAAATATTTATTGTTGTGATTTCTTTCCAGGTGTCTTTCTAAATTTGACAAGTGATTACCAGACATTTTTACTTTGCAATATGAACATATTAATTTTTTTTCTATTGTATTAAGGGTAAAATGCTTATCAAATATGACTTTATCTTTAATCTTAAATCTATAAAAAGAGAACAATTTTTTTAAATAGCAATGATTTCAGAATTAAAAAGAGATATTTATAAATTTAATTTCATTTATAATATGAACTTCATTAATATCTTGTAAAAATTAATCTGAACCAAAAATAAATGATTAGCATATATAAATTTTAAAATCATTTTAATAAGTTCACAAAAACTGCCCTACATTTAACAATTTTTAAGTTAGATGTTTAGAATTTTTTAAATTAACAATATAATAATTTTTACTTTGATTTGTTAACCATTTTCTTCTAATTAATAATCTTTAAGAATAATAAGATAAAAATTTAAAAATAAATGGCGTAAATTAATTCAATTGTTTAAAATTTTTTAACACTCCAATAGGAATCGAGAATAAATTTAAAAGTGGCATAAATGAATTAAGTTGTTTAAAATTTATTAACACTTCATTTAATTGGAAATTTGAAAATATAATATTTGTATTTACATATATTAATATATGATTTTAAATAATACACTGAACCCGGTTGAACCCGGGTTCAAATAAAATTCTTGGGTTCGGTTCGGGGTTTTGAAAATTTTATAAATGGGGTTCAGGTTCGGTTCGGGTTCAGAGTTTTTTTCTAAATACCCGGGTTCACTTCTCCGGGTTCGGGTTCGAATCCCTGGTCAAAAGTGCCAAAAATGAAGTTTTTTCGAAAAATGCGATTTTTTTAAATTGAGATAAGTTAAAAAATAATGATTTTAAAAATATAAGTCATATGTCAATTTATAACTCTATTAAGGGCCTTTTATTGAATATTAAAAAATTTTTCAAAATAATATTGTTGCGGTTTTTATTTAAGTTATAAATTTTATACATGAAAACTCCAAGTGTTTCGCTTTCCAAATTTTTTTGAATTTAATATTTTCTTATTCTCTAACCTTATATCTATTCATAAAAAAAATTTAAACTTGGGACAGCCATGGGTTTTTTAGTTATTGCGATTTAAAAAATTTCAAAAATAGATGGCTCTCCTTTATAAAATTACGCGTTTTGTTATAATTATTTTTTTTTTAAACTTTTTTCCATTTTAAACATAAATAATAAGATTTTCCAGCATTAATATTATGAAAATATATTACTTAGATCATTTGATAGACTTACTTATTATTATTATTACTTTATTGATAACTTGTAAAAATTATTAGTTTTTATAATAAATGATTAATTTCCTAAAAAGATAGTTACAATTCCTATATAAGAAAATATAATTAATTTTTGAAAGATAATAGCAAGTTTTCATTTTACAAATATTTCAATATTAATTTTTTCTTAAAATTATTTATAATGTATAAATATAAATGTGCAAATCCTTTTAAAGAATCTAAACACTTTAATTGTAAAAAGAACCTGCGTAAAGTCACGACGTGGATGACACAATTTCTAAACATTGAGGCGGAACACTATATTTGTGATAAATGTCGTAAGCGTTTATCACAAAAAAATATTGAAAATATAAATTCTGATAGCGAATATGTAAATAATATCCCCACAGCATCCGCATCAATAGATACAATCAATTTAACCTTAAACGAAATTGGAATATCTTCTATTAAGAAAAAAAAACTAACTGAAAAAAATTATCCAAAAAAAAAGATAGCAAAAATATCAAAAGCTCTTTCAGATATAAAAATTAACAATCCAGAATCGGACACAAAAGACAATAATGATTTACTCAACAATATGAAATTACATTATCCTAATTTATCTAAAAAAAAATATCAATTGCTGACCATTCTGCCTCCTAATTGGAGTGCAAATAAAATAAAAACGGAATTCAACGCTACATATCATATGGCATATAATTCCAAAATCATTTTAGAAGAAAAGGGGATTCTTTCAACTCCAAATCGAAAGCCTGCAAAATATCTCAATCAAAAAACAGTTGATATTGTTAAAAGTTTTTTTTGCAGTGATGAAGTTAGTAGGGTATTACCAGGAAAAAAAGATTGCATATCTATCATTGAAAAGGGGGAACGAGTGAACGCTCAAAAAAGGCTAGTTCTTAATAATTTAAAAGAATTATATAATCATTTTAAGGAGAGTAATTCAAGCATAACAATTGGATTTTCGAAATTCGCAAGCTTAAGACCAAAAAATTGCATATTGGCAGGGGCTAGCGGAACACCTAGTGTATGCGTTTGTAGCATACACCAGAATATTAAACTAATGATTTTAGGCTGTGAATTAGCAACATTGACTAAAAATGGTGAGGATATATTAACAACTTATAGAGATGTTATAGGCAGAATGATTTGCAACCCCCCATTACCAACCTGTTATTTTGGTGACTGTAGCGAGTGTCCTGGCTCGACACTCTTAAAAGAACGCATTGAAAAATTATTTATAAAAAATGATATAGCTCTAATTACGTTTAAACAATGGGTTTCGGTAGATAGAACAACTCTTGAGACTATTTCTCAATCTTCAGACGAATTTATTAATTATTTTTTCGATAAAATGA